CCTGGCCACGCCCCTGCCCGCCCCGCCCCGACCCCCAGCTCTGGGCAGGGAGGCTGGCGGCCCCGGGCGACTCCTGGTCCAGCTCCTGCCGCTGCCCAATCCCTCTGGCCGCGAGCTGAGACCCCCGCCCTGCCCACTCGGTCCTGCTGGCCCCGGAGGCTGGACTCGCAGGCGCATGGGTGAGTACCCGGGTGGGTGGGTGCGCGCGGGCCAGGAGGGACCCCCACAACCTGGGTCCCTGACCCACGTTTTCCACATGTCGTTTGCATATTTATGTTTTCCATATATTTCCATGTATTTATTTAATATCACACACATCACACATACACCCCTAAAAAGTAAAGTTTAAAAGCGACAGAAATCTTTCTTCTTCCTCTCTCCTTCCTCCTCACCTGAGGAAATCAAGGCAGGAGACTTGGACCACCACATTAAAATGTCGGGAACGGAAACTCCCGCTTGCCAGACATAAATTTAAAAGAACTGACAATGGAGGACAAGCAGCCCACTTCATGTTACATGTCCATCTCGTCCTGATGTGTCGCACTTAAGCCTTTTCATCCCTAAGGTGCTGGCTAGCTCTTCCCTACAAGTTATGCCCTGAAGGAACCGAGACAGGGTCACTTGAGACAAGCAGTTTGAACTTTTTCATCGCGTATTTATTAAGCACCTACTATATCCTCCCCTAGACATTCCATAAGGCACTGGAGATACAGAGGCGAGCTGATAGGCAGGGCTCATGAAGCTTATGTTGGAATTGAATGAAAGTTGCCCACAGATGCTACATGACTTTTTGCGTTTCAAGCTGAAAGTATGCCTGGATTTATCATTGTTCCTTAGAATATTTACCTCACAGTTTTATTGTTTCAAGCTTTCTGCAAAATGACAAATTAGCAAATACATCGTATTAACATTTTTAAAAACATACTCACTAGTATGTGACCTCCCTGAAGGCAGGGATTTTTGTCTCGTTCACAGCTGTAATCTCCAGCAATTAGAAGTGTGCCTATTTGTTGAAGGAATAAGTACCCTTGGAAGCAGTGACTAAGTAATTGGAGTCCTCGAAGTAGGAGGATAGGAAAAACAGAAAAAATTTTTTGAAAAAATGATGGCTAAGAAAGAAGTAAGTAGAAGTGAAGAGACTTCTACTTCTGGCCAAGATGGAGTATGGGGACTGGGATTGCCTTTCCTCCTGAAACAAATGAAAAAAAGGCAAAGCATATGAAAGAATGATTTTCAATACACTGGACATCAAGCAACAAAGGACAGGGATCCTAAGAGATGGAAATGTATGAGGAGAGTCCTATAACTGCCTCAGTTTACAGCCTCGAGAGAACCTGGGGGCCAGAGCACGGAGATCAAGTCGGAGTCCTCCCTGAGTTGAGATGAAGCAGAGTCAGGGAGAGGCAGCTGGTATTCGTAGGGCAGCTGTGTGTGGGAAGAGGGCCACACACAGAGGGGTCTCTGGAGGTCTTCAGAGCATCCCAATTGAGTATTTAGTGGAGTGCTGCTCTGAGCATGCCTGTGAGGAAGCTCCCCAAGTCCAAGGAAGACCGTCTGAAGGGACGAGAGGGAAGAGTGAACGGCATTCAAACCAGGCCAGGTGGATGCCTGCTCCATCCACAGGGCTGCAAAAACTCACAACTCACCGAGCACTCAGTAGGGTACTTGGCAAGGTTTCGGGAGGCTGGATCTTACCTTGCAGTTTGAGATGCCCAATACACCTGGCACAAAAAAGAAACAGTATTTAGTAGGTGCCCATAAGTTAAAAAAAAAATAAGTATAACTAACATTTTTTAAACACTTCATTTGTGCCAGGCACGATAGGGAACGTTTTGAATGCTACCTAATCTAATCTCACAAAAACCTTATGTGTGAAGTAAGTATGATCCTCCCCATTCACACAGGACAAGACCGTGGTTTGGAGAGATTGTGTAACCTCACCAAGGCCGTATGACATAGTTGGTAAAGCCAGAATTTGAACCCAGGACTGCCATTAACCACAACTAGCAAATTAGGGGGCCTAGTTGAGATCAACTCATTAGTGACCGAGCTGCAGTTAGAGGTCAAGCGTCCATTTCCACCGGCTCCTCTTTAAGACTTCTTTCAGTTCACCTGCCTAAGCTCTCACTCAAGCCACTGTCTCACCTCAAGCTAGTGAAAAATTCCATGGCTCAAGATTCAATCTCTCTCTGTGCCACCAGATGTCCTTGACACACATAAGAACCAACAGGACCTGCCAAGACGTTCACACCTTGGTGGCTTGCTTCCCGCTGGGTCCCTCCTTCCGTGTGTTACTATTCAAGCCATGCTGTCATCTCGTCCTGGGCCCTCCAAGCCTCCTTTCCAGTCTCCACTGCACTGGAATCACATAGTTCTTGTTCCCAAAAGAAACGTAAACTTTAAGGACTGTTGATTGTTTAAGTAACTAATATTGTGAATTACTCATTCTTTCTTTTTCTGAATATACATATTTAGGCCATTTTGATACATATTTATGACTTTTAGATTCATAGAAATGTAAGAGCTATTACATATTATCTAGTCCAACTCCTACCCAGTATAGAAATCACTGGAACACCATTTAAAATTTTTTTTTAAAAAATCTGCTTGCTTCTTTGATTTCTAGACATATGATATATGGCCCTGAAAATAATTTTCCAGTCCCCAAAGCCTCACTACCTCAAAAGTTAATCATCTTGAGGTAAATTTACTGAAAATCTTGAGTTTTAGAGATCCTCACCTGCATGGCCCTTTCCAAGACTTTAGAATGCATAGCTTTGTATTATTTTTTCTTAAATAAGGCCCAGCAAATTGAGTAATCTACAGGACAGGCCCCTCAACTCATCCTGTTTTCGGAAAAAGAAGTGATGTAACTTCTACCCATTAGTTGTCCCATCTGTCTTCTGGAGGAGACGTCTAATCTGACTCCACATGGTCGCCTTCCAAATATTTTAAGACGACAATACACAGTGAGTTCTTTTCTGCTATCTCATGACACTTGTTTTCCAGATTCTTCACCATATGGCATCTATTAAGGGCTGTGTATGTGATAAGCACTGTGACGGTCACGTTACGTGAATTATCTCCTGGAATCTGCCAGCCACCTGAGAGCGAGGAGCTGATTCCCATTTTACAAATGGGGAAACTGAGACTCGAAGAGGTTATGTCACCCATCCAAGTGGACTGTTACAAACCCATACGTTAGACAGGAATGTCATATTACCTTACTTTTATTTTCTGGACAGAAAATGTGATTTCAATACCACCATTTTGGAAAAGATTTGTTGCTACCTATCAAAAATCGTAAATGGACCCTTTGACCCATAAATTCCATTTTTTAAATCTACCCTACAGATATGGACAAATGTCCACATGGAGGGGGCTGATGAAAGAAGTCATGGAACATCTCTAAATTTTTATGTCGTGATTTAGAAATGAAAAGCAAATTGCAAAAGTGACTTCTTTTGTGGAAGCAAATTACATATGCCTCTAAAATGTTTGTACTTAGAAGAAAACTCCCCAAACCGTTCATAACAGCGAACCACGGGGAATGGAAGGGCGGAAGGACGGGGGAACTTCAACTATTCATTTTGTACAGTTTTGTACTATTTGTTTTTTACAGTGAGTACATGTTGCATTTATAATAAATTATAGCCTCTATTACCCCAAAGACGTTCTTGCCAGCTCAAGAACAATGCATCGTCAAAAACTGAAATCTCATCTATTAATCCAGTTTAACTTCCTATTTGACTTTTTGTCCACCTACAGTTGGCTTCGACTGGACTTGCCCTCAGCTAGGACACCTCAGTTCGCACAGAACCGGAAAGCAGCTGGGTAAATAACAAGAGATAAAATTAAGTTTCATTATGATCACTTATTGTTAAAACAACATAAAATCCTTGCCATTTTCAACACTTGTTCATGCATCAGCCCACATTCTCTTTCCTGTTGAAGATGTTTACGGTTTTCCTGAGTTGCCAGGAGGTTCAGAGTCCCTTAGGAAAGTGACAAAGGACAGGTGGGTGGCGAACTACTGTTCAGCAGTGCTTGAAGGTGTTTCAATTTGTTTGTTATAAATGTACATTTATAAGTGTAATACTCTAACCCTACAAACAATGTTGACAGATTCTTGTGAATGCTTTCAGAATTTTTATATGCATGTTCACACATACATAAGTATTACTTAAAAAAACTTAGGACTAAACTGTATAACTATTACACAACTTCCTTTTCTTAGTGTAGCTTTGTATCTTGGATATCTTTCTGTATCACTGCATGCAGGTCATTCTTCCTAAAAGCAGCATTTTCTCAGTAATGTGGATTTAACTTCTTGACCATCATTCTTTGTGTTGGGGCGGGTAGTGGAGGAGAAGTGGCTGGAGGAGGGGTGGAGAGGGTACGGATGTGCATCCTCCCGAATTTTCAAGAGGCGAAGAATATCGGAAGTCCATCTGCTCTAAAATGATGTCCCACATAGTCCACTCACTGGAGAGCCACTGGATTGATAGACAGCTCATTTAGGATTAGTGGTTGGTTCTGCAGGTTACTCTCATCACAGCCCAGCAAACCGCTGGACAGCCGTAGCCCATCTCAGGCGTCCCTGGAAGATCACCTGCCATCTGCCCAGCCCCTCAGGGTCCAGTCTCAGGGTCCCGGCTCCTCCACACTCTGGCTTTTTCTTCCGTCTCTTAGTATCTGCCTCAGTCCTTTGCTCCTGCTCTGGACACCCTCCCTTCTGTCTGGCTCTCCTGTCCCTGTTGTCTGTTTCGGCAAACTTGAATCTCCAGGGAAGAGA